AAAAAAAAAAAAACTTTTCCTGGGAGGTTAGAGTTGAGTTCTAAGCTTGCTGTGCCATTTGTGTAATTGTGTAGATCAATAAAGGATGTTTTAGGTGAATTAAAGATGCACACTCCCCTTGGCCTACGGACATATGAATGAAACAAGCCAGAGGAAATCACAGCATGGCTGTGCTTTGGAAGGCAGGCACTTGAAAGACGGGCACATTTGATTCATCCCATGGTAAATCTGCTGCAGCTCAGATGAGGCTAAACCCCATTAATAAGTTGCCCCACATGTTCATAAGTTCCTTGAACTGAAATAGCTTTAGTAGCCACATGTTAATGAGTACATGTGTCCACAGCTATAGAAAAAACAGTCACCATGTAACACAAAGCAAAAAATAACCTTAAAATCTGACCAGGCTGTTGGTCTAGTAAGTGTAAGATACTTAATAATGGCCCTGCAGATAGCTCTAAGCTTGGGGCATTTCTGAGCACAGGTTTTGCCCACACTGAGGTGACAACTGTTGACTATAGCTATGTTAGAACTGTATGATGGCTACCAGGAAAGCAGATTCCCTGATGAATGTACACAGGCTATTTCTAGTATGTCTGTGATGGACCCTAAATCAGCAGGGATCCTGTTTTTTTCTGTATAAAAATTCCAAATTCTCTTATAAAAAATCCCAAACTCTGATAACTGCCCCCCACAATTCCATGTTTTTCTGCGATTAAAATGAAATGCCATTATATATATAGATATTAGTTGAACACAGTATTTTATTAATATCTTTACAATTTTAAAGAATTTGGAAGCCTACCAGCACCTCAATCATTATAATAAAATACATTCTAAATACCTATATATTTTGGTGTTTGATTTTTTTTTCCCCATGGAAAGACAGAGCTCCCCCTGCTCCCTTCACTCACCAGGATGCAGCTCTACCTGTGGCTGCCTGCCCCCCGCTTTGTAGTGCTGAGCAGCCCTGCTATGCTGGTGCCCTGCCCCTGCCCATGCCATTGCCCCTGACTCCCAAGCCACAGGTCTCTGGCTCTGCCTGTGCCCCTCACTCCTATCCTGTAGGGCCCCCTAGGCTGTGCCAGTG